AATACTCTGGATACTCTGATTAAAAACAATATCGCGGTCCAGCCGGGCGCGATTTTTTCCCCCAAACGACATCCGTATTTACATGTACATGTACATGGTATTTGTATGAGCGCCCTGTACGATACTTTAACGATACGCATGCAGGTATTACCATGAATTTCCAGAATTTGTCGAGCAGTGCAATAGCTCAGTTGGCGGAAAGGATCGTGCTTTTGTACCGCGAGGGATGTCCGCGGTATGGGTTTGGATCACCATTTTAACACGATTTTTTTTGTCTTTTCTAATCTGAGGCTTTGGAGGACGTTTCTAAAGGGAAATAAAGTCCGAATTTCATTTTTTTTCTTTTAATTTTAATTTTTTTTCTCAAGTTTTAAGAGAAGCAAAGTCCAAAACGTCATGGCTTACACCCAATGCGGATGTCGTTTGGGGAAAAAAATTGCCGGCCGGGCAGGGGAGGGGATGTGGTTTGAACTCGAAAAGAAAACCAGAATTGTGTTTGTGGACGAATATTGCTGTTTCGGCTGTTTGAAATGACTCTGTGACATGTGATGACGACGCTTCAAATTTCATCGATAACACAGACATGATGTCACCATATACACCAAGTATAGGCCTACAACCGAATCGAACCTTTAGTTTTCTATATTATAGGCAGTGGCTGGTTTAGCTCCCCCGGACCCCCCCCCCCCAAAAAAATTGTCTAGTCCCTCCCCCCCCCAAAAAAAAAAATAGATTCCATAAACCAAAAACAAAATGCACTAGCAAAATGTAAAAATTTGACGTACATGGGAACAGTCTCCCCTAAATGAGAAAGGTGCATTTGTACACTTTTTGTTAATAGTGTGCCTGATTGTAGGATTTTATCAGCGCTCCCCATTGATAATAATGCACAAGCCCCCCCCCCCCCCCTCCCCCCAGTGGCGTAGCCAGGAATTTTTCTGTGGGGGGCGCTGGAACAATTCATGGGGGGGGGGCGTCATGTAGATCAATGATAATTTTTTTAAAAACTCAAAATCTCAGTGGGGGGGCAAATTTACCTTTTTAGGGGCGTGGCATCATTTAAAAAAAAAAGGGGTGGGACTTGTCGTGCCCGCAGTGAAAACGGTTGTTCCCATTTGTCACCAAAGCAGGAAACTTCACAAAGACATAATTGTATAGATTATAAGTGTTTTCCAGATTTTGAGCCACCGCAAAAGTACCTTTTTGGTGGCGTGGCAGCCATTTTAAAATAAGGGGGGGGGGGAATTATTATGCCCACCGTGGTAAAAATTGTGCCCATATTTCATGATCGAATAAAACGTCCCACAGACGTTTATGTTCATGAGAAAAAAAATTCCAGATGTGGAGCCGTCTCGAACACACCCTATTAGGGGCGTGGCAACCATATTAGGAAAGGGGGCGGGGTTTTCATTATGCCTACCATGAAAATATTGTTCCCACATTCACAGAGAAATAGAACTTTCCACAGACAATGACATTCATGAGAAAACAAATTCAAGATGTGGAGCCATCGTGAACACACCCTTTTAGGGGCGTGGCAGCCATATTGAAAAAAAGGGGCGTGGCTCTCATTATGCCTACCACCGGGAAAATGTGCCCACATCTCATAAACGAATGAAGCTAATTCCAACTGACATTTATATTCACGAGAAAAAAAATCAGACGTGGAGCCATTGCAAACACACCCTTTTAGGGGCGTGGCAGACATAGTAAAATTGGGGGGGGGTAGTCATGATGCCCCTATAAAAAGAAGTTGTGCCTACCTTTCATAAACGGATTAAACTCCACATGGACAATATATTCATGAAAATCTTTCTTTTTCCGAACATGAAGCCATCACAAACCTACCCTTTTAGAGGCGCGACATCCATTTTCAAAATGGGGGGGGGGGGGGGGTTACTCAATACGCCCGCCGTTGAAAATTTTGATCGCTTTTCATATGACAAAATCCACCTCAGATAGGTCTTCTAATGTGTTGGAGTATGGCCGCCTTATAGTTGGAAGTGACTGTTGGCAAGCCCTTTTTTCCTTACACTATGCATTCTTGCCTCATCTATATTAACCCAGTTACTGGTTCTGTCGTCTGTAGAATTATTGTTAACCTCTGAACTGCAGCAATTTCTGAATTGGGGTATAAACTGGGGTACCTCAATTAGTCTTGGAAAGACTAGTGTTACTTCTTCAAATACATCGTGTTTCCCATGCCTTTTTTTGTGACAGACCCAAAGGCATATGCAGACCTGTATAAAGTATAAAATGTTGTCATTGCTACTGATATTTGTAATGGATTTGGTTGGGGTAAAAAAATACACTCATCAGAGCTTGGTATACCATTTCTAAGAAAACGGAAGGGTTGTATGGTGGGGGTACACCGATTCATTGAATGTGAAGTCATAGTGGACGTGACCACAAAGATCACAAAGAATCACAAAGAAATACTCTGGATACTCTGATTAGAAACAATATCGCGGTCCAGCCGGGCGCGAATTTTTTTCCCAAACGACATCCGCATTTACATGTATATGTGCATGTACATGGCGGTTGTATGAGCGCCCTGTACGATACTTAAACGATACGCACGCAGGTACTACCATGAATTTCCGGAATTTGTCGAGCAGTGCAATTAGTCAGGCAGCCTAGTGAATGGATGTGGACATTCCGGACAAAAGCGCCACATTTTCCAAACATGCTCCTCAATGCCTAAGCTTTCAATTTTTGACAGGAACCAACTTATCCAATGACATTATGGTGGCCATCTTGGATTTTAAAGATGGCGGCCATTAAAAACCAATATCTACCAATATCTCATATTCTATGCCACTTAGGATTAAAGTTTTGGTGTCTAAACATACCTTTTCAGAGTCAATGAATGCAACTGTACCATTTGGGATAGTGTCAAATGGTCAGTTTGTCCAAATACAGAATTGTGGCCATCTTGTATCATGGCCGCCATTCAAAACCTAAATCTCCGAATACGTGTATTACATCTTTAAGCCACTAAGGATCTAAATTTTGGTGTCTAAACATATATTTTCAGGGTCATGGAACGCAACTAAACAATTTGGATTAGTACTACATTTATTTTGGATTGTGTCAAATGGTCAGTTTGTCCAGATACTTAATACGGCGGCCATATGGTTTGCCGTAAAAGTATCAACACTGGCCCGATTTAGGCTATAATGTACCTTTTTGCCATTATGGTTGGACTTGAAAGGGCCGGCACCGGTACCATTCAGGTTGTGTACCGTCTTGCCATTATGGTTTCCGATAAAGGGACCAACACTGGCCCGATTCATGCCTTTTACCGTCTTTTCATCATGGTTTATCGTAAGAGGACCTGCAATGGCCCGGTTAAGGCTGTGCGCCGTCTTGCTGTTATTTTTTGCCTGAACAGTGTTACCATTACCGTTTGCCAATTAATAGGGCGAGCACTGGACCGATTCCGACTCTGTGGTGTCTGTACCGTCAACACACGGAACCGTTTTGGCGCAATCAAGCTAGCATTAGTCCGCTTCTGGTCTTGTATCGTTTAAACTGTATGGTACTGCCACAACAAACCCGTAATTAGCCGGTATCGGCCCAATACCGTCCTGTTTACTGGGTCAATGCCATCTTTGAACCTAGGCAGGTATAAATCTCTGGCACTACAGGATCAAGGGCGGATCCAGAACATAATTTTGGGGGGGGCCAAAAAAAAAATTGGTCCCCCAAAAAAGTGGGTCTAAAAAATTACGGCGTGGGGTTCGGGGCCCGCTAGGGCCCCGAAAAATTTTTGGATTCTAGATGCTCTGTGGTGCGATCTGAGGCAATTTCTGACCACTTTAACCTTTTGTTTTTGAGGAAAAGATGGTGGTGTACTCATTGCCTGCCTTTATTGCGATGTGACATTAAAAAAAAAAAAAAATTGGTTTCGTTTTGGGGGGGGGCCATGGCCCCCTTTGGCCCCCCCCCTGGATCCGCCCTTGTACAGGATGTGATACAACTCTGCCTCTCCACAACTACATGCAGCTGAACCACTTTTGTAGCTCCATTTGATAAAGGCGGGTCTGTGATCAGCTAGTCCTGGTTCTCAAGTGGCTGATAGTTTTCCATTGAACCCATGTCGATGTAGAACCTGTTGAGAGGTTTTCCGACGTTGTTATGGTACAACCATGACAACCGGTGGGCGTTTGCTCCCAGTCGTTGCTTCCAGTATTGGAGTCTTGCCACCTCCCTAGCTGTTGTGAAGGAGCGGACATGGCTGAGGAAGCTTTTCTTGACTTCAGCCTTTTGTGCCGAAGCTTGCCGTCCCTGGAGGAGGCGAAACTCGTCATTTATCAATATTCGGACATCTTAGCTCGGCTGGCAACTTCCCTTTGGAAAACCGAAGAGGAAATGCCAGCAAGGAGGTGCAAATTACTTGTGTTCGTGGGTTTCAAGCATCCAGTGATCAAACTGCATGTTATTTAAGGCTGGGTCAGGTTTCATGATATGGGCTGATCTCTCCCAGACGGAGCACGCATACTCTGCTGAAGAATGGCACTGAGCCAAAACGGTTCATCTTAGGGTGTGTGGTTTGGCTCCCCTTTCGGAGGTTGCACACTCTCGGAAAAAATGGTCTGGATAACATTGTTAACTTATTTCTTATGATGGGACTGCGGTTTGGCCGAAGTCAATTGAGCGTGATCGGCTGACTGATAAGGTTTACGTACAAAACCCCGAGCCACATTTTGCGAGAGTGTGTCCGTAATGTTGCAATATCACTAAATGTAATGGGGCACGTGTTGAAAGTGGCCATCGGATTGAGGTGTTCACCAAAAGATTTCACACCATGGACCAAAATGTTAAGAAAACAAAAATTAGCAATAACCTTTAATTTATTTGGTAGATGCCCCTTTAAGTTAGCAAAACACAGTCTCCTAGCTCAATTGATTAAATTGCGCCCTCCATTGTTAGTCTGATCACAGAAGCTAAACACTACCTTCACTGGTATGATGTCCCAACATGTACTGTTATATGATAATTCGTTGGTGGTCAGACCAGACACTGACGTGACCCACATAAATATACACCGCGGGAGTAGACTGACCTTGAGAAAGTGGGTTGGGAAGTTTGTTTTCGAGGTGAACTGTCTGTACGGAATGTGGTGACTGACGGGTTGACGGATTCTTGCAGTTGTACTGTGTAAGGGAATTCCTACATTGTCAGAATGCCTGGAATTGACTTTCTCCGGCTTCAAGATGCAAAAGAAAATTCGCCACAGGTTCGTTCGATAAAATATAACTTGCTTGGCATGGGCATGGCAGTCAAGAGTCTAGCCCCACTAGTGTGGCCGTCGGTATGCTGCGCTGAACCTTTGGCCACACACCGTGGTACCGCGCGCTACTGAGGACGAAGTTTTTCATAAAATTCAGGGCAGTTTCTTACATTTTCAGTTTCTTACTTTCTTATGGTTGTATTCTATGATGTCTCCTATCACTTCTGGGATGCTTAGCATGTGCTTAGGTCTAATGATGTTCCATTTTCCGAGATATTCTTCAATCTTTCTGGAGTCCATATGCACTCGTGAAACGTCTGGTGATGGCAGCCATTTTGAATGGGACAAGAGATGACCTCAAGCTGTGACGTCGCGTGTATGCAAATTGCTTGTCGAGCGCGCGAGGGCGCGAGTTGCAAATGCGACGGCTGTTTCCTGTACCATGCATTTATCGTCAGGGGGCCACGTGCACCGATCTCTATTCAGGATCTACGGCACAGGAAACAGCCGTCGCATTTGCAACTCGCGCCCTCGCGCGCTCGACAAGCAATTTGCATAAACGCGACGTCACAGCTTGAGGTCATCTCTTGTCACATTCAAAATGGCTGCCACCACCAGACGTTTCACGAGTGCATTATGGGCTCCAGAAAGATTGAAGAATATCTCGGAAAATGGAACATCATTAGATCTAAGCACATGCTAAGCATCCCAGAAGTGATAGGAGACATCATAGAATACAACCATAAGAAAGTAAGAAACTGAAAATGTAAGAAACTGCCCTGAATTTTATGAAAAACTTCGTCCTCAGTAGCGCGCGGTACCACGGTGTGTGGCCAAAGGTTCAGCGCAGCATACCGACGGCCACACTAGTGGGGCTATCAAGAGTCAATCTAGTCATGCTAGTCCGAGTTAGCCCCAAATGCAAATGTGGCCAGTTTAGTGGACTGCCTCCGTAAACATAGGCCACACAGCCGCCATCTTTGAACCTACTCGGCGAAGTTTTCAAAGTGATTTCCACATTGCGACTTCAGACCCAGTTCATTTATGCTTTAAAAATAGGTAGTGGATATTTTGCCGGAGGTAATGACGGCAAACTAACGATTACTAAAGGTTTGCCGGCGGCAATCCATATCAACAGAGGGCGCTAGCTGTACTCTTTAAAATAGGGCTGAATTATAAGATGTATTAAATTCCCACCAAAAGTTGTGTAGCACGTTTGGTGTAATGGTTAAGCAAAGGCTCTAGTAAGTGGGATGACTCGCGTTCGATTCCGACCGCACCACATTTTAAATTTTTTTTTCTCATCCCCAAATAAATAAGAATATTCTTCTTTTATTATTTTAACATGTCTCAAACATTTTTTGCAGAGTATTACATTTTCTTTTTCAGATTTGTGGCTCTGGAGGATTTTTTTTAAAAGGGAAATAAAGTCCGAAATTATAAAATGGTCTGAATCCCATCTTGTGAATACGAGGTAACAACGAATTTTGGCATGGAGCCAGACTAAAACTTTTCACCGGAAAATGTTTAAGTAAAAAAAAACAGTAACTGCGCATGTTCAGTGCATATCCGGCAAACTAACGTTTACTAAAGGTTTGCCGTCTCCGGCAAAATATACACTGCCTTAAAAATACACTCACCCTCTTAATAACAAAATTTGAACCTGCTTCCAGTGTCAGTTGCCCAGCTGCTGCGTAATTTACGATATTTTCTGGAGCCTTCTTGGCAACTTGTCGGTCCAACTGAACAATGGGATACGAACCAATATGCAGGGATCGTTCACCTGTCAATCATGCGTGCACGAGGCACGCCGTAGTCTGGTTCTCAGACCAAAAGATTCTGACTATTCCTGATGAATCAATATAGACGTGAGCGTCGGGAATAATCGTGTGTGCATGATTGACAGCTCCACGAATTCAAGTGACATTTATTGGTTTAATAGTTTACATTGAGTGATGGAGATACTTTATAATAATTTTCCAAATTTAGGCTCTTTTTATTTTGACTTTTACGACATCAAAAGTACCGATGTCACTTTTCTTTTCCTAGTTCCGGATCGGTTCAATCAGTTCCAAATCGATCAAAACTTGCTTCGCGCCAAAAAAGAATCACGCGAGAAAATCACATTTTTTTCAGCCAGAACTTACCAAGCAAGCATATTTTCTGATAAAGTATTACTTCATTTTCCCAAAATAGTTCATTCAAGAGAATTCCACCAAATTTAACAAGGAGAAAAACGTAAATGATTTTGAAATGTTTGTCTGCAGTGCAATGGCATGACGGACCGAAAACATTTGACACAGCACATAGAATACGTCACACAAAATCCATTAATGCGCATGTAGTTGGGTCGTAAGGCATGTAAGGGACGAATAAGTACATGCGCTATCCGGAACTAGTCAAATGCATACGGTCATTTGTTGGCAAATTTTCAAAAATTAGAGACTCTACAACTTATCTTGAGATTTTATCGAAAAGATCTTCATGTATCAAGAAGCTTACATTTTCCTTTTCAAAATGCACTTCGTCAGAAAAAAAAACATTGGAGACTAATCCAAAAAAGGTAGGTTTTATTTGAAGCTACCCGGAACTAGGAAAAATCCGGAACTAGGAAAACGACTGTACGGAGTAACTTGGACCCAACTTATCGCCTTTTTAACATTCGGACATGGTCTGGCGATAGTGTAGACCCGTGAACGTGACGTAGTTTACAAGCCACGTTGTACAATTTTGTGCAATTTCGAACCAAGCGAAATTGGTTCAAAACAAAAACTGAACATTGCTCATGATTGGTCAATCTGACGCCGCCTATCGTATGCGCCACATGAAGCAGACGGGTAGCTCGGAGGGCTCCAATAATTTGGCACGCAAGTGACCCTGGGTACTTGTCCAGTTAACGTTAAAATCTAATTTCTACACGTTCGTATGGGTCTTCATTGACGGCAAATTTCATCGAAATGACACATCCTGAACACGCGGGAAGGCAAATTTGGATTTCTAGGCGAGTACTAAACATCCATACGAAATTATGCATGGCGGATCAATTTTGCCAGGTTCAAAATGACACAACAGCGTGGTGTTGTATACAACGCCACGTTCACGGGTCTGGCGATAGTGGGGTCCAAGCTAATCAGTATATATGCCGAGCAACACAATTCTGTCATTGACCCCAAAACCCAACATTGCCCAACAAAAACATCAGATTTCGCCTTCAAAACAGCCTCCAAATTACTAGACACGCCACCTGAGGTACAAGTAGACATCAATAATTAAGATGGTTGTACTGAAGTATACAATATTTCACCAGCTGCGTTGACGGGATTCTAACGTGTTTCTACCGTGATAGGTCAATTACTAATGTCACCCATGAACGTGGCTTGTAAACTACGCCACGCCCTGGCTGGTATCATTTCAAACCTTGCAAAATCGTCCCTTCATGACACAAACTGAACATTATTTTACCGTGTGATGAGCACTCGTTATGCATCGTTGCATTTGAACGAAATTTGACGTAAAATCTGGCCTAGTCCGAGTAACTTGGACCCAACTTATCACCTTTTTAACATTCGGACATGGTCTGGCGATAGTAAGGTCCAAGCTAAACCACATCAGTCGGTCGACACAGTTTTGTCTTTGACCCAAAACCCAACATTGCCCAACAAAAACATCAGATTTCACTCTCAAAATGGCCTACAAATTACTAGATATGCCACCTGAGGTACAAGTAGGCATCGATGAGTAGGATAGTTGTTCTGAAGTTTACTTACAATTCGGATAAAAAGTGAAATTTCCCGTTCAATTCCGAGAGTTTCCCTCGCGATCGTGAGTGCTCGTTAAATATCCAAGGAATTCCTAAGCAAAAACGGAAAGATTCCCATATCTGGCCATCACTTGTCACCCTGTGCCAGGGCTCGATTTACAAAAAAAAAGTGGCATGCACTGGTGCATGATGTAGACCAAAAAACCTACATGCAGCAAGAAAAACCCACATGCACCATAATTGACTTACACAATGTACATGTACACCCGTCTGCTTCTCTGAAGGCATTCTTTCTCTTTGATTTATCGAACTTTCTACAGACAGTACAACTACAAGTACAATACATGTACATAGCCTTTTTTACTCGATCATGCTCAAGGCAAGCCTAGACCCGTGAACGTGGCGTTGTATACAACGCCACGCTGTTGTGGCATTTCGAACATGGCGAAATTGATCCGCCATACATAATTTCGCACATATGTTGAGTACTCACATAGAAAGCTAAATTTGCCTTCCCGCGTGTTCAGGATGTGTCATTTCGACGAAATTTGCCGTCGATGAAGCAAAATTGTGCCGCAGCAGGATTCCAGTCAAACCAGTGAGTTTGGCGGTTTTGAGACATCATCTTTCATTGAAAAAAAAACCTTTTCACTTTGCCGACGCGCATGGCTACGGCGACGCGCGCGCATACCAGAAACCGGAGACTTTTTTTTTTGGCATAACGTGTTGAGTAAATCTGCTAGTGTGGCCTTTATTTACAGAGGTAGTCCAGTAAATAGGCCACATTTATGGGGCTACACTACGGTGTAAAAGTTAAATCTTAAGTGACCCCTCAAAAATGGCCTCCCCAAATTGTTCTTTTTTCACCTCTATTATCCCATCCCAGATCCCGTAACATAGGGTACCTCATACCATTCAACAGTCATTCATGAAGCTACTGATCAACTTGAAATAGACCAAAAACAACTAAAATATGAAAAATGTTGATGATTTCTGGGGCTTGTCCATAAAAAACGTCCAGTTTCAATGGCTGTCGTCTATTTTGTGTGGTTAATTATGCAAATGCATGCATCACGTGATGACAATGGAACAATCTGTGTGCGTGATATATGTGGGTACCACACCGCTTTCAGGCGCCGCTAGTGGGTTCAATTTTTGTCTGGTGCGTTGTCGTGGAAAGGTTACTGCTTTCCACAACAACGCACCAGATGGAAATTGAACCCACTATGTAATGTGCTGGCTTAAGAACAGAAAAAATGCGGGACTGGTTCACAGTACAGCTATTTAAACACTTTGAAAATAATTTAGATTCATTGACTTTTTTCCTGACATTTCTGACATTCCTGAGCATAGTCATGGCGCTACCTTTGAATACCAAGCATGGAACAAGTTGGGACAGTCCTAGCTTAAGTTGGGACCATGGTCTAAACATCACTAAGGTGTTTAAATGAGTCCACTAAAGAAGGGTGGTGTTCTCGTTATATAGGAACGGGGCCCATTACTTCACAAAATTGACAAAATTATAAACAAAATGTTATTTTAAATTGCCTCTTTGTTAAAATGTTTGGACCGTGTGAGTGCACGAGGACTGGTCACCATCATTTTTTGTTTTTTGGAAGTGTAATATTTTTGGTTGTATCAATTTTTTTTTTTTTCAATATTTAGGCAAGGTCCATGCTTGGACTTTTTGAAGAAGACACCAGCCTTTTTACTGGTTATGTGAATGGTTTGCTGGCTGCTTGCAGGAGGGTGGTAGACTGTGAGGTAATGTAGCAAATCTCCCAACCACTTAGTCTTCAAATTTCAGCTTTCTTACTTACTAGTAAGTTGCGTTGAAGAAAATAAGTAGGAAGAAAATAACTTATGTTTTTAAGTGCAGTGAAAAGGATTACGTACATGTACATCTTTTTGGAAAACAGTGCATGACATTTGATAGAAACTGTAATTTAAGATCTAGAAGGTATAGTCTATCATTTGTAATTTGTGCATTTTGTTCGTTTGAAGTCAACAAAAGTGCTCAAAATCTAAAGAAGGGTGCTGGACAATTAACCTGATGAAGTTTCAGCTCAGCTTCAGCTTGTACTCCAAGAAAAACAACATTCTAGGATCTCAATTTCAAATCAAAAGTTGCTGAATCATGTTTTGAATTGGGCCTGAATTCAGCATCCGAGACACGTTCTCACTGAGCTGATTGCAGCTACGCGATGTCGCGCACTAATCCGACGAATTATAGCAACCGCGCACGTGTGTGTCGTGCCAATGCTTGCGCACGCTTTGCTGAATAAAAAAACAAAACTACTAACGGAAATTTCCAACAGTGCGTCTTAAGACACACCGTTGGAAAGGCCTTCTTTCGTTGATTACTTCAAAATGACAGCTTGCCAGAAAGGATAATTTCACAGGGAGTTTAGTCCCCTTACTATCTTTCAACCAAGTATGTTTCCAACAATAATTACGTCAGTTACTTTCTGGATAGCTGCAAATGATGGACTATAGCTTTAACCCTAACTCCCTGGCATCTTTTATTAGGAACTGGACCATGTCCATCAAAATCCATCCATCACTGTGCTTCCAATACAAAGTGTACATGACATAACAGAATCCACCACTGATGCACTTGACATCGTGGACTTGCTACACATGGCTTTTATCACAATAGCAGTACAGGAAGCCAGGCAGAATCAATCGGATACCCCCAGCACTGCTTCAGGCTATTAGGCCCAAGTCCATCATACTCCATCAATATTTAGTCACATCAGGCCTCCTGGACCAAGTTCCCCAAACTCCACCAAAATTGGGGGGTGGATTTTGATCTAAATACATAAAAACATCATCAGGCAAAAATGTCAAGGCTGATCAGAAGCATATGGTAGAGTAATTAGGAAGGAAACGATACATGTAGTTGTTTTAGTTTCATACTTGTTGGTTTTTCCCCAGACTGCATTATCAGTTGCTATCCAGACACTATCACAGAAGCTTCAAGAATATGAAACATTGGTGAGTAGAAGACAAAAATTGAATGATGGTGTTGTGCAGCAAACACTGTGATAAACCACTGGCACAATCTGAGTACATTAAGCCTTGTCTGAGGTAATGGTGTCCAGCCAATCATTATGAAATCATTCAAAATCACCCAAAGCCAGTACACTGAAAGAAAAGCATCCATGCAATATTTAGAATTGACGGTACAGATTGTATCTACCGTAATTTTCGGAATATAAGCCGCGGCTTATACGTTGAATTTGCCCATGAAAATGTTTACTGCGGCTTATACACAGGGCGGCTTATACGCCGAGACTTGAAGAATAAAAATGACATTTACATGTGTATTCAATGTACTGGTACAAGAAGAGATGTGTTGCTGAAATAATTATCAATTAAGAAAGTCATTAACAAACCGAAAGCACGTCCCACAAAAAGGTACCGAGCGGTAAAAAGTACGGCTAGTGAAAGCTGTCCCTTGGACATCGACAACCGGCCGCACGTGATGCTGCATATGCTGCATGCATCATGCTGCATGGATTCCCCATGGACCACACCATTTGTGGTAATAAAGGAATGTACTTTCTTGGGAACAATAATTACCAATATTTCCCCTGTTTAAAAAAAGAAAAAAGACAACTCATACTTTTTATGGAGTTTAAAACATATCTTTATTTGATAATCAGTTGTTCAACGTCACAATATAATTTTTTTTCTTGAAATGTATTCAAGAAACGATGTAAAACTCAAAACAGGGGTGAAATCACCCCTTACGAAATTAATGGATTCGTCCATAAAAATCTCAGCATCGTGTTGACTGTTTTCGAAGAAAGTTACGATCCAAACTTGAATGTTTGACGTTACTACTCGTTAGTAATCACAACAATTTGATAAGTTTTGCTGTAAAAACGGACTTGTTTATCCTTTAGGACAAAACAACTCAGTGTC